GGACAGAAGAGTCACTCTAAGTCACGGACAGAGAACATGAAGACAAGACTGCTTAATCCACGGATAACATCTGGGTGACCATCAGGACAGCCCCGGGCTCAAGAGCACAGGGACAAGTCTAAGGCACCCTCATCTTCATGTCTGGGAGCTATCAATCTCTACTGGTGAAACTGGCTATGGACTTCCAGCCTAGAGGCTGAAAATAATGCAAAGGATTTCCAAAACAGATAACCAACCAGCAATGACCTCATTTCTCTTTTGACTGATGATGAAACAGAAGCAGCTTCCTTCCTCACAACTACAATGAATGGGTATTTTCAGGAAACAAATTGAGACTGAGAGAAGTCAAGTAGTTTGCCAAAAGTTGCAGCCAATCAATGACAAGGCCAGGACGTCACTTTGAGCCTGAGCCTCCCAAGTCTGGGCTTTTTATACTCTCCCTTGGATAAAACTAAGGACCTTCCAACCACTGGCTCATGTACCTCTTGCACCCACCAGACTTCTAATACATAGCTCAGCCTTTGGAAAATTAACAGCATGTAAGAGAGAACCTACACCGAGCACTCAGAATAGCGTACGGCCCATGGTAAATGATTTTCAGTTTTTTCCCCTTTCAACATTATGTCATTCTATGAGGTAGGTACCATCACCAACCTGTTTAAGTGGGGAAACTGAGGCACAGCATTTGGGGCAAATGGGAAACAAACATCCCTGTTTTATCGATAGTCAATTACTAATTCAACTATTAAGAGTGAGCAGTTAGACTTCACATGGCAGAGAGACTGTGAATTAATGACAAATGTTTTGAAGTGGCAGTGTGGGGGTGCCCGTGCCAATGACTGAGGCAGCACAAGCGGAGTGTGTGAGCACTTACCGAGCTCGTGTGGGAACTCCTCGCAGAGGATGGCCACCGAGGTGCTGATGCCCTGGAAGACGGACACGGTGAAGGAGGCACCGATGGCCAGGCCGTCAATGAAGTTGTGCAGGCCGTCGCTCAGGGTGATCATCCAGGCCAGGGTGCCGATGTCAGAGTAGCGGACACCCTTCAGCCAGTAACAGGCGCCCTGGGAGGCCTGCAGGTCCTACAACAAAACCCATCCCTATGGCCGCAGGGCAGACGATGGGCCCTCCGGGGAGGCCTGCGGCATCAAGGCCTTGCCACTTAAGGGCCCCTAGTGAGCAGAGCAGGGCCCACTGACCTGGACAGAGAGCGAGCCCACGATGACCTTCTCTTCCGTCATGGGGGCCTTCCCATCCAGCCTACCGCTGCAGTGCTGAGGAATCATGTGGTCCAGATCCCCGTTCTGCAGCTTCTCTGTCACCCCTTCCTCCTGGTCCTTCTTGGAGGGGAGTGTCTCAGAGGCATAATGGCTATGTCCGTGATGCCGCTGGAGGGACCACAGGGAGGGGTCAGTGCGACCCTCACCAGAGCCGCTGGAGCACCCAGGTTGAGCAGGAGCTCCCAGCTCTGGGAGACCTCATCCCACCATCAGAGACACACAGGGAGACGATTCAGAAACCCAGGAGAACTGAACCGCGGGGAACACCAGAGCTCAGTGCAGGACAGACACCAAAGCACTGCACTCAGGGCCACCGCTTATTCCAGCAAAGCAGCTCTGCTCAAAAGGTTTAGAGCTCTTCCTTTGCAATGGCCATTTTCAAAAAAAATTAAAGTGTCACAATCTTATGAAGGTTTCACATGAACAATATTGTGGTTTCAACATTCACTGCAATGGCCAGTTTTATTTAACTCAGCAGTAATTTAGGGGAGAGCTACATGCCAGTCACCAGGGGCACCTTTTTGGGACTGCACTGCAGTAACTGATCCTCCTTCATACACTGTGACTGCATGTATCAAGCCCCTCCCTCCTCTCCTTCAGGTGTAAAGGGTCCATGAAGGAAATGACCTAGAGTAAAACAAGGGGATCAATTACTACCTAACAAAAGGCACACAGGCCAGATGTGGTTCTGGCTCCCCTCCTCCCTTGGTGACATATGCTCATGAGGTGAAAGGGGATATCCACTCATGAATTTGTGTGTTTTAATCCCTGGCAGGAGGATGCCAGGGAAGCTCCCTGTACTGGTGCTGGGGTAAAACTGCTACCGACACGAGCATTTCGGAGACAGGAACTTTCCCCAGAAGCACTTGCCTTCCCAATATATTAGGTCTCACCTCGTTTTTCTGCTTAAGAAGTATCTTCAAGATCTTCTCTGTGAAAAAGAAAAGATAAAAGCCCCCAAACACCAGTGCAGACTTAGCGACATAAGGATCTTTCAGAGGGTTGAAACCAAAAGCCTGTGGACCCAAGAAAACAAAATGAGTTTAAGAAAATAAAAAGTCTTCACTGTCCCCTCTCTTAACCACGTCCTTGATTCTAGGAAAGCAAAGCGGAGCACCGAGCACACTGTCATGGACCCCCATTCCTTTTCCAGCAAAATCTAACCCTGGATGTTTCCCTGATGTCACATCACCAGACCTGTCATGTTCTCAAGTTTATTTTCTGATAAGAAACAAAGATCTTTAGACTTTTACTGCCCTGGACATGGTTTTTTACTGCCCTGGATATGGTTTTCTATTTTTCTACTTTTAATGAGGACCCTGTCTTCACTTCTCCAGGTGCTTTGCTACAAGGGCAGGCTGTGCTGGCAAATCCCATATTTAAGGCAGGAGTCGTGTACATTTCCATCATTTTCTAGTGTCCCTGGCTGACGGGCCTGTAAACACAGAGGGAGACAGTCTAATTACACTTTCCAAAATGGGAAATCCATCCCCCAGTTAAATAGGAAGAACTGCAGCGTCTTCCTGACCACAGGCCTCCCAGTGGCCGCAAAGCCAAGAGAGCAGACGGTGTTCCTGCACACGTCAATTTTGGGGGTTTTGTTTTGGGTTCTTTCTGGACACTTCACTTATTAAAGGGGGGAGTTGTGGGGGGAAGAACCAATGGGAAGAGGAGAGGAACAGGAATCCCAGTCCCAGTCTTGGTGACGCTCCTGGCCTGTGCTGGGGCCTGGGGACGGGCTGGGGACCTGCCCCTCGGGTTTCTGACAGGAACAGGCCTTCGAATAACTCCAGCCTCCTCAGGAAGAGGGCAAAGATAAAAGTGACCATAGGTACCAGCAACTCCAGACTGCTTAAGTGTTTTTCCTTTCTGTTTCAAGGGACAGAATGCAATCCCTACCTCCAGAGTAGCTTTGTAAGAGACACCAAGGCCAAGAGAAATGACACTTTCAGGATGACTTTCCAGAAGGGTCGAATCACCTTAAGGAAAAGTGGAGTGAAAACAGGCAACTACCAGTTCTCCACCAGAGCCAGGAGGATGGGGAGTACAAAAGCAGGGCTTTAGGAGTGGTAAAACCTGGCCTCCAGGACACGTGTCTGCGCAGGTCAGATTCTGCCTCTGTTGAGTAGATGAGCACTACTTGTTCTTTAAACATCACATCAGTTTATCTAAGGATCAACTAAAAAACACAAAACCCCCATCTTGGAAAGCCTAAAGTGCTCTGAGAGGCATGTGCTGTCATCTTCTTGTTTGAACTGCGGCTCTGTCCAGGCCCGTCAGACCACCTACACGGGGAGCGGGTCTGCTGCAGAGGTAACACCGCTTCAGGTGAGATTTTTCCGAGGCTGCCTGCCAAGCCTCACACAGACTAAGCTCCCTTCTGTTTTATGCAGGATTTTCTCAATGACCCGGGTGAAGGGACAAGGTACTGTGACTGTGGGTGAAGCCAGACTCTTTTATTTGGATTGCCTTTGCCCCATGCACCCTGCTGAGGAGAACTGATCTTTTTATTTAGATCTGCAGACTTTGCTGATGTGGGTTTTTGTACCAAAAGCCTCAAAACCCCACAACGAGGAGTCATAAAGTAATCTAACTACATCTTTACACTTACTAGGCACCAGGTGTTACAAACACAGCCTCACATCAATGTGAGGTCAGGCCTCCTATCTTCCCCACTGCACAGAGGGAAGAAAAGCAGAGAGGTTAAGTGACTTGCCCAGGGTCACGGAACAGGTCAAGGGTGGGGCTGAGATTTGAGCTCGCTCTCAAACCTATGCTAGGCTGCCTCTCCTAGCTCATGCCTATCTTAGCTTCATGTCCCCAAAGGGGGGGGGGGCCTTTTTTGTGCCTTCCATGGGAATCGGGGTCCTTCCGCTGCGCCCACTGTCCCCCAGGAGACAGGCGTGCTCCAGTGTGAGAGCCCTGGCTTGCCATACCTCAGGGATGAGCTGGAAGAGGGCATTGGAGTAGAGGGTTCCAATCGCCAGAGCTATGAAGTAGAGCAGCAGCCGCTTGTAAAAGGTCTTCTTCATGAAGGGCACCACGCTGGCCCCCATGAGGGAGCAGAGGGAGATGACGGTCACACAGAGCAGACCGTATCCCCACACTGCCGTTGGAGGAGGACCAGCCCCACCCAGGACAGGGAGAGGGAGGGGCAAACGCCCCATTACGTGGCCACCGCCGTTCAGGGGAGAGGGTGGAGAGGATAGACAGGGAGGCAATGAGGAAGGTTTTGGTGGGTATTAACAAAGAAAAGAAAGAAGGAAAATCAGAGAGACAAGGAGGGAGGGAGAGAGAAATGGAAAATTTGTTAGTGATTCAAGTCTGATGCAATTTCCTTCAATCAGTTCTGAAGAAATGAGGAGGAATTCAAAGTGGCCTTGGAACCCTGTGGCGCCCTGCCCTGCGCCTTTGGTGGTGGGAGTCATGTCCTACCTGGGGGCTGGTGTCACACGGCAGGCGCGTGCTCAGACCTACCCGGGGCGGCTCCTGGCAGACTTTGGACCCGAGGGCTCTTTCACTGGGAACAGGAGCCAAGGGGAAGTGTTCCCCACAGGCACACAGCCCACGGCCTGGACTTGGTCTGGTTTGTGAGGATACCACAAAGCCAGGGTGTGAGGGGACAGAAGGATGGAGGACAAGGGAGGCCCCATGCCCATAAAAGGCAGTTTTTTGCTTTGTTTATTCCCATTTGCTTTGATAGGAATCCAATATAGAGAACAGAGTTCCAAGACCACCTAGTCACAAAAAACATTTCCTCTCCCATTCCCATGTCACACACTCCAGGTAGGACAAAACAGAGCCAATACGAGGCGCTCCTCTGTGAGCCACAGAGGCGGAGCATGTACAATTACTCTATTTCCATTCAACAGGTGAAAGGCATTTCATTTCAAAATCTTTAATAAATTAATAAATTAATTTCTGGAGCTGGAAAAAAAAATAGCCCAAGATGAGGCCTCCCCTGAGAACTGCGTGTCAGCCTCACGTGGGCTTCTGAGACAGCACAGATGGCTCATGAGCCAGACCTCCTTTCTCGTTATGAGAAGGGCAGGCAGGGCCTGGGTATTCACCTAGGCCTCCTCTGGGTGAGAGCCTTTGGATAGGGAGGGGCCGGGGGACCATTCTCAACGGAGGCCCACACGCCTGTCACCCCTGCCTCCCTCCGGCTCACAGCATGGCCTGAGTTCGCAAGGCAGGCAGGCAGGCTGTCAGCTTGGGTCCTATTTTTTTTTTTAGCTCTGCAGTGGTCATAATTAAAAAGCACAATTAACAAACATTTCAAAGTAGTCAAGTAAGGTCACCAGGAAGTCAGTCCTATCAGGAGAAAGTCAAGATGCAAGAATGAAGGAATTGAATGGCCCTTTACTTTGCCATTTTGAGTTCATTTTTGTTAAAAACCCTTTGTTCTATGTTTGGCTCTGTGCTATAAATTATGGCCTGCTTTAAAAAATAAAACAAAAACACCTCACTCGCTTTTGAGGCCAATTCCGCTTACCACTTGGTAACCCTGTTTCCTTCCATCTCATTCCAGATGGATAATCTCTCGGTGGCCACACCCGAGTCCTGCCCAGGTCTCTGCTCACAACAGAGCAGGTGTGGCGCACCAGGGCATGGACAGCCACCACCGACTATGGCTTTCCTTTGAGCTCTGCAAACAGGGTTTAGGAAAGGCACTGACTGGGGAAGGGGGGTGGGGGGAGAGATCCCCCAGCAAGGAGGGCAACATTCAGGACCTTGCATCTGACACCACCTGACGAGGCCAGAGGCAAACCTGGGGGCCTAGGAGGGAGAGAAGACCCTGAGATCCAGAGTTAGAAGGCACCGTGTCCCTTGATGTGAGGGAGAAGTTGATTTTCCAGGCAGTGGTTGTGGGTGCCTTAGAGTGCAGGGTGGGCAGGACATCAGCCCAGGGAAGGCTCAGCCACTGCCCCAGGACAGAGGACGGCATATTCTGTTCTACTGCACCTCTGGGATGAGTTGGAAGAGCGCATTAGAGAGCAGCGTTCCAATGGACAGGGCGATGAAGTAAGTGAGCACACGGCTGAAAAACGCTTTCTCCGTGCATGGCAGGACGAGGACTCCCAGGAGAGAGGCTAGGTTAATCAGTGAGACACTGAGGAAACCGAAGCCCCACACTGTGGAGGAACAAGAACAGAGGAGGGCCTGCATTACTGAAGGCAGGGGCTCCTGCTGCCTGCGGGCGGGGCCTTCTGAAGTCAGCTGTGATCAGAGCAGACACAGACCAAATAACCCATCAGCAAATGTCCAGCTCTTCCTGGGTGCTGCAGAGAAGCCTAAAAAATACAGCAAAGTCACTATCCAAGAGACACTTACCTTTTTGATAGAGAGTAGGGCAAAAGCAACACAAAAGGCTAAATGCCAGGGGAGTTAAATCACGACAGCTGGAAGCAACGTGAGGCACGATACAGGCCACACGCCCTAGGTGCCAGGAAGCAGGGAACCCACGCCCACAAGACAGAATTTGAGAAGGGCACTCTGGGCCGAGGGAGTCGTGGACACGAGACCATGGTGAGCCCACCGTGGCTGGAGGAGGAGACAGGGAACCAGAGAAGGGTGCAGCGGGCCAAGGGCACACTCTGTGAGGTCTTAAATACGAGAGCAAAAGGTCCAGGTGTTGGCCCCTAAAGTTTAATGAAAACCAAAATGAAGAAGTGGCCCAAGAAAGCATCCACAGGCCAATCCCAGAGCCCGACCCCGAAAAGTCACAAGTCATGCCACCCAGGCTGACAATACACTGGACCGGTCTTATGAGTGCAAAGTAATTCACCATTACTTTATGGTGCTGCAATCTAATTCACCCTCCTGATGGTGGCAACTGGTCACTGGATAACATTCAGGGGGCAGTGCTGTTCCCCTGGCCGTGTTAAGACAAGCCCAGGAACCAGAACCCGGCTTCCAATCGCAGCTCACCTTCGACTGAGCTTGGCTTCCCCTCCTCCGTCTGCTCATTTTCCTCATTCTCCTGGTTCTCAGAGGAGCAGGCCCGGGAATCGAGCTGCTGGAGGACAGTAGGGCAGAACTCCTGGAACTCCCGCCTCCCGATCCGTGACTGGTCACTGAAGTTGTGGGCAGCAAAGAGGTCTCCAGAACTAAAACACTGAAGCAAAAGGGTGGGCAGAGTGCTTCTTAGAACCCAAAGTCACACCCTGTCCCTAAGGAGCAACTGACCTAGCCTTCCATGAGGAAATTCACGGTGGCCAAATATAGGGAATCTGTAGACTAACTTGCAGGGTGAGAGCAAGGTAGTCCCTAAACCTGAAAAACTGATCAGAGACCAGCCACCCACTGAGAAAGTTATATACGTTAAGCACACCCATTTATGAATGGCTACCCAGAAGTTCTGGGAACTGAATTCCAATCATTGTGACCAGGGTGTGTTTTCTGGAAAACATGGTTCTATTTGCATACCTGAAGATAAAAGCTTATCCAGATACCAAATCTAGCTGCATATCACAATAGCCCAGGAGTTACTATTACAATGCAGATTCCAGATACTTCTCCAGAGCTACTGAGCACTGGCATCTCCAGGGGAACACCAGTCTCCTTGACCTTACTGTACTGTCCCCAGCCTGAAGAATGTGTTGACAGAAATTAGGAGAGGAAGGGAGGAACATCTGAAGCTTCAAAGTCTGCCACACAGCAAGGGTGCCAGCTGGAGGGCACAGTGCTCAGTGCTCTTGGCAGTTGGCAGCTAAGTGGTTCTCATGTTCCGTTCATAAGTAACACTGCCGTTTGCCTTCTAATTTACTCTACACACTTAAATGGCAGTCTTCACCCGAGTGTGGCTTTACAGGGGTCTTCTCTAAGTCAGCCCTCTGCAAGTGCTGACAAGTCAGAGTTTTGGGGCCTACGAAGCTGAGGGCTGGCCTGTGGCGACCCCAAAACATTGCTGCGGCTCCGGGCCAGGCTGCATTAGCCTCGAGGGCAGCCTCTCCCCGAACCAGACATTCACCATGCCTGCGGTTCCGTGTCCATGCTCCGTGGTCCCCGGTCCCCCTTGGCCATCTGATCTCTCCAAACTCTACTCTCCTTCAAGGTGAAGCTCCAGGATGACTCACAAAGCTTCCTGATTATTCCAGGGTGCACGGCTCTCCGTCTCCCATTTCTGAATCCTATGGTAACTGTCCTACCCATGGTATTTAATGCTTCATTTTGTTATCAGACAACTTTGTTCTCGTTTGAACTCCCCATCCTAAGCCTGACTCATTTTTCTCTATTTCTTAACAATGCTCAGCACGGGAACAAAGTAGATATATAAAGACACTGCTGGCTGACTTAAACTTGGCTGCCACAAATAGCCTCAGACTGATTAGCCAAGATGATACGGAAGAAAGAACAGAGAACCAAGAGCCAAAGACCTGTTCTCTAAGGGACCCTCCATATTCTCTCCTATGTGAGATTTTCCACCCACAACCAGAGGCACTGCAAGGCTCACCTGCGAAAGCTGGCAAAGGGCCTTGCAAACTGTTGTCTTTATCAGAAATGTGAGCTGTCCCAGAAGCTCCAGCTCACCAGCAGTTCCCAGTGATCCCAGGCAGTTAGTTCTGAGGAAGCACCCGGAGGGCTTGAGAACGCCTACTGCATGGCTGCCCTTTGGTAAGGGCTTCAAAACTCCCCTGGAGGAGGTCAGAAGGCACAGCCTGGGTCTCCAGACAAAGGGGGAAAAACTACCCCTCTACTGTCACGGAGGATTGACCGCCCTGCGCCGCTCAGCTCCCTGTGCCCAAGTAGGCTGTGAACTCCAAGAAGGCAGACACAGTGCTGAGCACAGCTGGAAGCCTTACCGTGGAGAGGTTCCTCTGTCCCTGCACAGGCTGGGTGACATTGTCCCAGCCCACACCCACATCTAGGTGGTTGAGCAGGGCCTTCAGCTGCTGTAGGGTGAGGCTGTCGCCCTCCCCATAGCGATGCATGAGGTCCTGCAGGAAGGAGGCGGCGCTGATGCCCGGTGTGGCTGCCAATGCAGCGTGAGCCTCAGGAGGAGCTCCCCATACGCTGAGCAGGGCCAGCAGGCAGCAGCTATGGACGGCTGGGTGCAGCAGCTTCATGGTAACAAACATGCCTGAGAAAGCAAAAAGCAGGTGAGGGTCAGGCTTAAGAAACCCACCCTCTCCGTGCACTCCCATCCGCCAGCAGCTGCACCACACCATCAGCCATACTCGGGGCAGCCTCTCCTCCCACTTGGATCCAGCAGCAAAGCCCCGTTTCAGCCTGTCTCCTATGCCTCTGCCCAGCTGTCAAGAAAAATCTTTTTGACAACATGGATTGAAAAATAATAAAAGGACTAGCTCACCAGGTTTGATTAAATTTAAAAAGTAAAAAAAAAACAAACAAACCCCTATGTGGTTATGTTTAAAAAAAGTCCTTATAAAGTACAGTTTAGGGAATCAAGTCAGTAATAGTTTAGTAACTTTATATAGAGACAAATGGTAGCTAAACTTATGGTAATGTATATAGATGTTGGAGCCCTACATTGCACACCTGAAACTAACAGGAGACAAGACTGGGAATGAGTTAGTAACTGCTGAAAATAAGCAGTAGGTAGACGGGGATTCATTATACTGTTCTGTCTACTTTTGTGTATCTTTGAATCTCTCCAAAATAAAAAATTAACTAAAAGCAAACAAATAAATTACATCTAAAAGGAAGGGGGGAAGAGGGAAAAAACAGACTAGGGAAAATAGAACCGCCAAACACAACAAGGTTTATTTCTTCTATACCATCTAAATTAGGGAAAAAACATGAAAAACAGTCTCTCTGGTTTGTTAAGAATATAAATTTAAAAGATGGATGGTGCTATTTTGCTAGTTATTAAAAAGGCAGAATATATTTTTTGAAAAAGATAAAACCAAATGTTAGTGAGGTTAAACAACAAAATAAGATACTGCTGGCAGCTATAAAAATCCTATGCCTTTCTTGAAAAGTTACATGGTAATGAAAAATATTTAAATTCTTTGAGTTGATAATTAATTCTACTTCCAGAATTTACACTAGTAGAAGCAATCCAAAACCAAAAAGTCTATAAGCAGAAACATGTTATGATCAAATGAATTATAATACATCAATTTCATGGACTAAAATGCAGCTATAAAAAAAGAGAATCATGAGTTTAATGTTAAGAAGCAGAATGACTGCAACCAAGGTAACTAAGACGACAGAAAAAAATCAAAAATCTATGGTAGCAGACGATGATTTTCCTTTGTTAATCATTTCCCCCAGTATAGTTATGATTTCGTTAGTGAAAAAAACAGTATCAGGAGGGGAAAATGACCCCCGTACTATTTAACCCAGACCCAGGAGCCCAGCCCTGCAGCTGTTTGCACACCTGCACAGACGTGGGGCTCCGGCACAATGCCTCACACTGGATCGTGCTGTCTCTGGGCCTCTGCTTGTGCGAGAAGCTACAGCACAGTGGGTAATCACAGGCTTGTTTGTCTCCTGGCCCTGAACTTACCACCAGTGTGATCGTGGGCAAATTAAGCAGAATCAACGTGCAGACTCAACCAGAGCAGTGTTGCCGCTTACTAGGGCCATTCTTGTCAGAAAGACCTGGCTTCAGTGTCTATACCACTGCTCACTGGGTGAGCAACTGTGCACAAGTTACTCAGCCTCCCCTACCTCCATCTTCTCATCTATAAAACTGGTACCCACTTCACTGGATTGCTATGAAGATTTAATGATGTGGTAAGTCATCAAGTGTCTGACCTATAGAAAGCACTCAATAAAATGTGGCTGTTCTTATTATAGGACTTTATAATTAGCAGGGTTCCTCCATTTTGACTCACTTGCAGCTCAGATATTAAGCTGCTAATGGAACTGTTAGAATACCCCTGTGGCTGACTTTACTTCAGGCCCGTAGCCCAGGTCCTCTACCACAAATATACCCAGGGACAGTCCAAGTGTTAGGCTCCACACACAGGGCACGCACAGAACCTGGGGACACAAAGCACTTTTCAATGGAAGGTTTGAGGCTACTCTCAACTCTACACCAAGAACTAAAGGTAAACTCTGGTGGGTAGTGGGGCTTGTATGCCATATGGCTCACCCAGACTGTACAAAGAAAGCTGTTCTCTCCCTGATGACATGACCACCTGTCTAAGGCACGCACGTGCTGTCACATGAGGGGAGAAAGGCAGCATAAATTGAGAAAAGGAGAGGCAAAGACATGATGAGGAAAGAAGCTGTGTTACCAGCACGAGCCTTGCAAAGCACCTGACATTTACTGATTCCTTTAAGAAATGCTGGGATACTTATCCCATCTAATAGATGAGAGAACTGGGGTTCCAGATTAGGAAACATGATCCACAGCCAGTAACTAGGATAGTGAATCCAGAAAACTGAATTTTTTTGTGCCCTGGAGCTAGGTCTGAATGACACAAAAGTCAGTACTCTCTTAACCAGAGCCCTGCTGTGTTGAGACATAAAAATACATGTCCTGGGTTCCCTGGGAGCCAGACTCCCACGTGTCTCTAGGCAGATGATTCCCAATTTCTATCAGCCCCAATGAGCACCCCAAATCGAGGTATAAAATATGCTGAAGACCCTCAGGTATACTCTAGAGGCAAGGCTGTACCATGGAGCTCCTGTCATATGATTGCCTCAGCAAACATCTGCTTCATTTCTCAAACATATCTGCAGCAACTTCAAAACATACAGCACGTGTGCACATGCATGCACACACTCAAGTGTGACACACCTCATATAATTTTACCTGGGGGGCACCCAATTCAAAGTGTCAGCACATACAAAGTATTTGCTCTTGGCTGACCCAGTGGCCCCTCAGTGTGGCAGCCATGGCAGCCTGGAGTGGGTGGGTAGATTTGACCAGCAGAGCCCTCCAGTGTTGCCTGGAGACCTAACCCACCCCCAGCGTATCAGGCGAGGCTAAAAGCAACTTGTAGGCAGGAAGAAGTCCCGACCCAG